CCCTGCTGTCTCTCCTCAGTGCCAACCTATCCATCCATTTGTCTTTATTGTGCATGGAATTAAACACAGTCCTTAAATGTGGCAACACTTTCAGATTATTAGCTCTGCAATTTCTTGGCTCCTGTTTATTGTGATAACATCATCTGAAGGGCTGTTGTAATTAATAGTTTGTTCGTGCTTCTTTTATAAACCCCTGGTGTGTTTGTTTTATACTTCAACATCAGCCACCACAACTTGCTTCCAGTTTATTGTCTGAAGCATCCCCACTGCAGAGAAAAGACTTAGAGGTTTGGGGTTTTTTAATAACAGCTCATCAAACCCCTAATTTAAAGTAAAAGCTAAATAAGTATGATATTAAAGACAAGACGATTGTCTTGCACTGACCCTGGAGCAGAGAGAACCCAAATCCCTGTTACAAAGCTGTTGGTGCAGGGGCAATGGCCAGGGCATGGCAGAGAAGAGATCCCTGCTGTCCCAGCCCGGCCGCAGCAGCATGGATGGGGGGCAGCAATTCCTCCCAATTCCCATCAATTCTCACCTCTTTGAAGCATTGCCATGTAAACCCACAAACGGCAGTTGCAGTTCATAACGCAGGGCCAAGGGAGGTTTGTGCGAGTATGGGGTCACAGGGTGCCTGCCCAAATGTCCCCGGGGCTGCAGGCAGCTCCCAGTGCTGGGTTGGTGCTGGTTGGGGCGAGCAGGACCCAGTGCAGCACAGGTACCACCAGTACCACCCTTTGTCACCCAGTCAGCCCCATTTGATCAGAGCTTCCAGATGAAGTGCACAGGCACTGCTTCACAGAGCGGCACCTCCTCGGCTTGGAGGGACCAGGGACAGGGATGTGTTAGGGACCCAGGGATGCGTTAGGGACCCCAGGATATGTTACAGACCCAGGGATGTGTTACAGACACAGGGATGCGTTACACAGACAGAGTGGCTGTGGCCGGTCCCATTCGCACCACAGCTGAGGCGCTGAGTGGTAGTGAGCGGTGTTAACCACCCAAGGGGTCTCCAGGGCCCCCAGCTTTGTGCTGGCAGAGGCAGCATTGGGCTAGGTTGGGCTCCATGATGTGATGCAGGGGTCAGCGCCGATGACGGCAATGGTCCCCTCGAGCCCTGTTGTCTGAGAGCCGGTGCTTGCAGCCCAGCAGAGCTTTTAGCATCTCATAATCACCGTGTTCTGACATTTGACAGCCTGCTGCATGCTGCCAGGGTGTCTGACTCAGAGGAGCAGCCACAGCCAATTCTGCCGCTGCCGGTCCCTCCTTCTGCTCAGACAATTGCACAGGAAAACAGCTCATCCCGTCTGGAACCGCACGAACGAGCGCGCGGTGCCGCTGCGCGGGTGCCAGGATAACTGAGCGCTGCGGGGCAAGGCTGAATTGTGCTCGCCTGGCAGCCCAAACCATCTGCAGGGGAGAAGGACGTTTAGACACTGCTGCTCCTCTTGGCCATCCAGCTCTACCAGCTGATGCTCTCTTCACTTAAAAATCAGAGCTCTTCCCATTCCCCGTAGTGCCACAGGTTCAGCGCAATCCCTTTGGTCCTGGGTTGACCCCAGTCCCGTTGGTCCCATTTGAGCAGTGCTTGACTCTCGTCCCAAAGCTGGCACAGCAGTGACAGCCCCAGGGCAGTGTCCCCAGCCCATTGCCCCTGTCACCAGCTCAGTGTCAAACACGGCCCTGGCCGGGAAGGGATGCCCTGAGCTGAGACCGTCAGTGTCTCTGGGAGAGCGGGCAAAGGGGGCACCACAGCTGGCCCAGCCCTTCCAGGCTTTACCGTGGTGTGAGATGAAGGTGGGGATCAAGGGGGAAGGCGAAGGGCTCCGTTCCCCCATCAACGGGCAGGACAGCAGCAAACAGAGAGCCAGCATGAAGGAGAAATAGCCCAAGCACTGCAGGATGGGTCTGTGCACACCTCTGTGTGTGCTGACCATGGGGCTGGGGAGCAGCAGGAAAACTTCCTGCTTCAGGACTTCGTTAACTCTGCAGTGATGGGAACCAGGAGGAATGGAAAATGGGCAGAGTGATCCTGTGTTTGGCTGAGAGATTCCCAGTCCTTCCATTACCCACCAGTGTTACAGACGGGTGACCTGGCAGGAGAACTGCTGGCCACGTCCCTGCTGTGGTGGCCCTGTCCTGGCTGTAGTAGCCCAGTCCCTGGACACAGGGCAGCTAGCAGCAGGACAAGACGTGGCCTGCAGCCAGGTTGTGGCAGCATCCCTTCGTAAGGAAAAGCAGACAAATTACCAGCCGTAAATGGTAATAAAATAACTGTTTCGCGGAGCAAGGCACAGAAGAGTAACGCATTGATTTTGGCAATTAATGGTTCAATAGAAACCTGTTCTGGGAGCGCCCTGGGCAAAGTCACCGGATGGGAAGCGCCGTTATTCCCTGCCGTGCTCCTCTGTGTGTTCTCCGAGGGCGATCACACAGCCCCGGGGTTTGGCTCCTGCGCTTTGGGCAGGGAGGTGTCTCTGTGCGTGGTGCTCATCCCCTGGGGGCAAATCGCTGAGACCCCTGTGTGTGGTGCTGCTGCGGGGAGCGGGCGCCCCTGGTTGTCCTTGCTGGGGGTGGGCAGTCCCCTCCTCCACCACCAGCACTTGTCACCCACGCTGCGGGAACACCCAGACCCAGACCTCATTTGCATGCAGGAATTTTAGCATTTCGGTTCCAAGTTTGTTAAGCAATATTTTAAAAAAAAACAAAACCAAAGAGGGATTTTACACAGCCACGCTTGTGTTTTGTGGGCAGTGCAGAGGCCGGCGCGGTGCCAGCTTGCTGTGCAGGCAGCGGCAGCACCAAGGGGGCTGCAGTGGGGAGGTTTCTGTGGTGAAGCATGTCCTGAAATTGGGAGTTTTCTCTGGGCAGTCACTGTCAGCGTTGCACTGCGGAGTGAATGCGGTTTCTGTGCGAACACAAACACCGGTCAGGTCAGAGTCGGGCAGAGACTGAAACTGTGTGAGCCCCGGTGCAGCTCACGGGTTACACCAGGAGTAAACGCACAGAGTAGGGCAGGTGTAAAGCAAGTGGATGCATTCAGTCACAAATAGGAGACGGCACTGGCAGGGACGTGGAGCTGGGCCTTGTCTGCCTGCATTCTCCAGCTGCATTGTCCCCAAAATGCCCATGTCCCGGGGCTGGCGTCTCCACGTCAGCATCGCGGCGGTGCCCTGCCCTGGGTGCTCGCACAGCCACTTCCAGCCTGCGCACGGTTTGCTCACCATTTGTCGGCACTAAAATAGCTGTGGTGTGAAGGGACAAATCTGCCCGACCTCGCGCATCCCCATCCTCACGCCTGCTGCAGGGGACCCGGCCGGTGCTGCGGGTGCATCCTGGAGCAGTGGCACCACTCCCACCCGTCAGGCACCGCATTTGTCTGCGGGGCAAGTTACCCAGCGGCAGCCAAATGAGCTGCATGGTGCAGCGTGCCTACGCAGCGCTATTCGAGAGGCTCGAGATAAAAATATTGCTAAAACACGGTTTAGAAGCAGGGCTCGATGCCCAGCGGGGCATCTCAAGGCTTTTGGGGTCCCACCTGGGTTTCCCACCTGGGCGTCTCTTGCGGACGGCACAGTGGGTGCAGGGCCTCGGGGGGATGGGGCTGCCCACGGCACAGGATTGGGAGCTGGGTGGGTGCTGGGTCCTGGCGCTGCCTCCAGCCCGAGGAGGTGTGAAGGGGGCGGCGATGCTGGTGCCATGGACGTGGTTTAAAACCTTCTGGCTCGCTGTGATAATCTCTAACCAGGGGCAGCCGGGACAAGCGTTTACCTCTTCATTTTCTTAGATATAAATGCTATCTCGCCACAGTTTCATTTTACAATATGGTAATACGCTATACAGGAAAGTCTTGCTACATGCTAATTTATCCAGTAGGCAAATTCCTTTTGGCTAATAAAAGTGCTTGCACAGGAAGCTCAAAACCCAGCAGCAATTAATTATTGACAGAGCATGTGAATTAGAGATAAAAGAAAAGTCATTCTTTCTCACACACAAGATAGTAAATAAATTTAATTATTGTACTAGAAGCAAGGGATCTTATTCTGTATTAAGTTTTATTAGCTGAGACATTTAAAAGCATGTCATCATAACAAAAAGGTCTTGTGTAATCCTAACTGCACCACTCCGGTACAAGGCTCTGAAGTGAATAGGCTTAATTGAGCAAATGGAAGCAGATGGCTTGCTGAACAGACAGGTATTGTGCAGGTTTATTGTCAATTAACTTTTGTCTACATATGCCTATGGCGAACTGACTGTATAATGTGTTAAAGGGCTGATTTAACACTCCGGGTGCCCACCGTGTCCAGGGTCTAAGTAAAATAGACTCACTGAATCACTGAGGTTGGAAAAGCCCTCCAAGATCATCAAGTTCAACCACCAACCCAGCCCCACCATAGCCCCTAAACCATGTCCCAAACCCAGCCCCACCATGGCCACCAAACCATGTCCCAACCCCACCATAGCCACTAAACCTTGTCCCAAACCCAACCCCACCATGGCCACTAAACCTTGTCCCAAACCCAACCCCACCATGGCCACTAAACCTTGTCCCAAACCCAACCCCACCATGGCCACTAAACCTTGTCCCAAACCCAACCCCACCATGGCCACTAAACCTTGTCCCAAACCCAACCCCACCATGGCCACTAAACCTTGTCCCAAACCCAACCCCACCATGGCCACTAAACCTTGTCCCAAACCCACCATGCCCACCAAACCATGCCCCAACCCCACCCCCACCATGGCCACTAAACCATGTCCCAAACCCAACCCCACCATGGCCACTAAACCTTGTCCCAAACCCAACCCCACCATGGCCACTAAACCTTGTCCCAAACCCAACCCCACCATGGCCACTAAACCTTGTCCCAGGTGCCCCATCCACACGTTTTTTGGACAGGGCCCACAGGTGCAGCAGCCCCCCTCCAGCATCTGTGGGGGTACACCAAGGGGTCCGCCCATGCCCAGCCCCTTGCTAACCACCCCTCTGCTTTGCGCAGGAACGTGATGCCCAAGACGCTGGATGGCCAGATCACCATGGAGAAGACCCCCAGCTACTTCGTGACCAACGAGGCCCCCAGGCGCATTCACTCCATGGCCAAGGACACGAAGCTGATCGTGGTGGTGAGGAACCCGGTCACCCGCGCCATCTCAGACTACACGCAGACGCTGTCCAAGAAGCCGGAGATCCCCACCTTCGAGGTGCTGGCCTTCAAGAATCGGACCCTGGGGCTGATCGATGCCTCCTGGAGCGCCATCCGCATCGGGATCTACGCCCTGCACTTAGAGAACTGGCTCCAGTACTTCCCCCTCTCCCAAATCCTTTTTGTCAGTGGAGAGAGGCTCATCACTGACCCGGCCGGGGAAATGGCCAAGGTCCAGGACTTCTTAGGCCTCAAGAGGATTGTGACAGAGAAACATTTCTATTTTAATAAAACCAAGGGGTTCCCTTGTCTAAAGAAGCCGGAGGACAGCAGCGCTCCCCGATGCTTGGGCAAGTCCAAGGGTCGAACTCACCCCAAAATAGACCCAGACGTCATCCACAGACTGCGGAAGTTTTACAAACCCTTCAATGTCATGTTTTACCAAATGACAGGCCAGGATTTCCAGTGGGAGCAGGAAGAGAGTGAAAAGTAGAACCAGGAAATCAGGAAAAACGCTCTTTCCTTTGAGATGTGAATTGTCGTTAGAGACCCAGAACTCACTGGGGGCCGGAGGCTCGGCCTTGCGAGCGCGCGGCTCTTGCGCTGTCGGGGTCCAGCCGCAGACCCTCCATGTCCCCAGCTCTGAGCCGCAGTGGGACGTCACCTCAGGGGGCTCTGCCCCGTGACACTGAGGGGTCGGGGGGTGGGAGGAAGAGGAGGCAGGGGAGGATCCCTGGGGTGATGGGGTGCTTGGTGACGCCGTTTGCTGCTGATGCCCCCCTCGCAGGCAGGAGCAGTGCCCCCCGCCATGGCCAGGGCTGGGGGTGCCTCACAAAACCCAGCAGCACCAAGACAAACCAGTAGATGTGATTTCTCCTGCCCTGGCCTTTAGTTTTGCCCAGACAGCAGCATCGGATCCGGTGAGTTCAGGCCTCGTGCATTCGCATGCACGCTGGTGTTTGTGTGGAAGGAATAAAGCCAGTTATGCTGCACAGGAACTATGTACAGAAACTTCATTTGCACCAGACGTTCCAATTACTTGTTGCACTAAACCTAGTCTTTACCAAGTGCCACAAAACACCCAGGCCCCGTCCCCCTTTGACAGACAAGTGACGCCGCTGCTGGACAGGAGCCACTCCTGCGTTACTGGGGTGCTCAGCGAGACCAGAGACCCCCTCCTCCTGGAAATTCACCCAAGGCCAGGCCAGGGTCTCACCACCGAGGCATGGAGCCGCCAGGCCCTGCAGAGCACCATGGCAGGGCTGTGCTGTGCCCTGCCCCGTGGTTTGGAGCCCAGTGTTCCTGGTGGGAAGAGGTGTGGGGACAGCCCCAGCCCGGGCCCGGAGCAGGGATGGACGTCAGGGCCCGCACTGCCCCTCATTTGCACCTTGAAATGAACTCTGTGCTGCTGTCCACAGCCAGGTTTGCAAAATCAGGGAGCAGCCCTCATCTTCACTTCAGAATTACAAAGTCCTGTTAATTCCCAGGGCGAGCACTGCTCTGCACAGAAACATGTGCTGTCTGGTGGAAATGGCCAGGTCGTACGCTCAACCAAATCTGCAAATCCTGGTAGAAACTGTGGAATAAACCCATATCCCGACTGGACCCTCTGGCACCGCGATGAGAGCTGCAGGCTGGAGCCAGCGCAGAGCAGGACGGCAGCGCTTCGACAGAGCCACGCCGCCTCCATCACTGAGAGAAAAACAGCGAGAGAGGGAGCACAGGGAAAACGCAGAGCCACCGCTGCTGAAATGCTGCTGGCTGCTGCTTCGTTTCACCGAGGGGCAAGGATGCTCCTGGGTGCAGCATCGCTTCGTGCCGGTCCCCGTCCCCGTTTGGGAGCTGGGTCCCCAGCCGTTGGAAAGCAGCAGAGATGTGGTGTGGGATTGCCGTGGGAGCACCAAGGCTCAGTTTTGATTAAGGTGGCAGGAAATCCCTCCTGATCCAGCTAACGAGGCGAAATGGCACTACACCGGGTAACGAGCTGAGCCCGTGCTGGGTGTCACGGGCTGTCCTGTGGTTCGTTACTCCATGCAGTGGTGCTGGAGCCTGGCATCGGGTGAGGAAGAGCTGGAGTCATTTGGAACATGTACACCGGGAGCCATGCTGGAGGGGACCACGAGGCCCCTGCTAACGTCACGTCAGTTCCTATTAGTCTGATTAGAGCTAAAAACAGCTCCTGACATAACACAGTTCTCGCAGACCCACAGATCCCAAAATTATTACATTAAAATTGGAAGTATGTAATAGGCATAATTTCCCAGTGTTTCCCACACTATTAAATGTCAGATCAGCTCCTTAGTGAAACTGCTGTGACATGGTTTGGTGTGAGCCGTTGGATGGGTTCATCTGGAGGACGAGGGGCTTGCCAAGGCCCAGTGTCCAGGCTCTGCTCCGGGGCATAGCGAGGAATTGTCCCCTGTCCCCAGCGCGCTGCGGTCCCGACACTGCCATGGGATGGCCCTGGTGGTGCTGACACTGCCGTGGGATGTCCCCGGCGGTGCCAAGCGGAGCCTGCCAGGCCCTGGCTGCTGCTGGGACTTGGCTGCGGAGAGGTGGTCATGGCCCACGGTGTCACCGGGACCTGGCAAGTTTGTGGCATTGACATCAGCTCCATGGCCAAAGCTTGGCCTCTCTTGGACCCCATCCACAGCGGCCATCAAGCCACCGTCACCATGCCCAGCACTGCAGGGAAAGGAGATCCCAAACCACGTCTTTGTCGGGGAATTACAGCCCAACGAAGCCTCGTTAGGGAAGTCACAGCCCGCGGCCAGGCCAAGCAGGGGTGTCTGTCCTGCACAGAGACGAAGCACAGGGTGGCTGGGGAGGAGGGGTCCCAGAGGAGGGGTCCCACAGCCAGGCCTGGTCCCCCTGAGGGCCCACCCAATGGTTTCCAGGCCCGGTCTGGCCACAGGAGCTGCTGGGCCTGCCCCTGCCTCTCGCTCCCATGTTTTCTGCCATATATCCAGAGGTTTATTTTTTATATCAGCTGCAATCTCCAGCTCTGCAGGAGCCGCCCCACGGACACCGGCTGCCCCAGCAGAGGAGCGGGAAGAACTGGGGACATGGGGACACAGGGGGCTCTGGTGGGTTCTGTTTTCTGTTTGTCTGAAATGTCTCTGCTGGACGAAGGCAGGGGCTTGGCAGGGGAATTATTTTCTATCTGGCTGGAGAATGGCCTGCCAAAAGAGAGGGAGTCAGGTTAATAACATTTAAAAAAAAAAACTATTCAAATGTCAGCATTAGAATACACAGGAAATTGAATTTTGTATTTGATTTCAATTAGCAAAGCATAAATTATATTTAATTTTATACACGGACTGGGTGATTCATTGTTCTGGAAAAGCTGGTACTTCATGGTTCAGAGACTGGCAATGCAGAGTTAGTCTTTTCTGCAACCAAACTGCTGTGCTGTCGCCTCCCCAAGCGCGTCTCTGTCTGTCGTGTCACTCTGTACCCGAACAGGATGGAAATCCTGCACCGAGCACTCCAACCCACCGCACTGAACAATAAAACCTTGCAGCAGACGCGTTTCTCTGCTCCATTTCTGCCAGCTCCCCCAGCAGCACCAACACCCCCTGAGCGGGGCCTGGGACCATCGGGGCCAGCACCGGCCTGCAGGGCCCCCGGTGTGGGGGGCTCCATCCTGACGGGCAGCCTCCCCAGAGGTGCCCGGCGTGGGACCAGGTCAGGGACCCTGCAATAGGGGACAGCAAGACGTGTCCCTATGGCAGGGGACAGCAGGATTGTCCCTATGGCAGGGGACAGCAGGATTGTCCCTATGGCAGGGGACAGCAGGACGTGTCCCTGCAGTAGGGGACACCTTCCCCTGGGTGCATCGCTCAAGGTCACAACGAAGGAATCCCTGAGCGATGCCTGGGGCGGTTCAGGCGGTGCTGCTGCAGGGTAAATCCGTGGATGATAAAAGGAGCGAGAGGGCTGGCTGCCAGGCTGAGAAACTGGGGGGCGAATTTTTTTATCTTATTTAGTGTGCACAGTTTCCTGCTGCTTTGAAAAAAGCCATTTCACGGCACAGCCCTATTGTGTCATCTGATAAAGCCACAGAAAAAACTTTTATCAACAAAATTAGGAAGTAGTGAACTATAAAATTGCTAATTATTTTCTAGTAAATTTACTTTTAAATAACTTTAGACACCAATTACAGGCACCATTAAGCACCATTAACACCGGGTATATTTACCAAACAAGATGGAATACTTATTATTCAAATCAAGATCATTTTGGTGTAGATTTTGCTGTTTGGAAAGCTGGCCCCTCTTACCAGATGCTTAGAAACTCATCAGAAGATCAATTACACCTCAAACGCAGTCGGTTTCCTAACATTTGAATGGTGGCGTGATACAAAGCAGCCCTTGAAACTAACGTGTGTGAGGGCTGGGATGTGATCCCGAGGAGCTGCTGGGCCGTGATCCTGAGGAATTTCTGGGACCGGGATCCCAAGGAATCTCTGGGACTGGGATTCCAAGGAGCTGCTGGGGCCATGATCCCGAGTACTCTCTGGGACCGTGATCCTGAGGATCTGCCTCGTTGGGGCCAATGTGCTCCTCCTGAGCAAGCGAGTCCCGCATTGAGCTGATCCAACCAGCGCCTCTTTTTTCTGGTCCATGAAGGGCATCACCACCTTTGCACATCCCTCGTACTGGGCCGACCATTGCTGCTCCTGGTCATCCTCACTGCTCTGGGTGATCCTTAGTGATCCCAGTGATTCAGTGCCCGTTTATCCGTTCAGGGCCACAGCCAAGCGCCTTTCAGGGTCCCTGGGGCTTTGTTCCCCATCAGACATGCACAGCTCTGCAAAGCCTTTGCCTTTGGGAGCTGCAAGGGCCGTGTTGCAGCCTGCACTGGTGCCCAGCGTCTCCGCAGCCCGGTCCCGGCGCGGGGCTGAACGCCGGCGTGCGCGGCTTAATTGGCCGTTGCCAGGCGGCTGTCAGAAATCTGGCTGCAAAGCTGTTACCTGCTCCCATTTTCCTGCTGTTATCTTTGACATCCTCATTATTTATTAACTGCCCTGTACCCAACAGGCTGCCACGGATGCGGGAATGCTCTTATTATGCAGGTTCAATATCCTGCCTGCCTTCCAAGGTCACGTCCTCCAGGATGTCTTGCAAACCAGATTGAAGAGGGAGCAGCAACGATGCAACATGTTCTGTGTGAGCCGGTGCCAGGTTTCAAGCAGAGCCCTTTGAACAGGGCTGACATACGAGATGGTGATAGAAGACCCTGTTGCTCGCTGCGTTTCCCTCTCCCATGTAGCGCCGAGCTTTCTGCGCTGACGTCAGCGAGCGCAGGAACCAGAGCATCCCCTGCACGCACTGAGCAAAGCCGTTTCCCTCACACTGCCCTGCAGGAGAGCAAGGCAGGGGTTATTTATCTGGCCAGGCTGCAGACCCGCAGTGACTGGGTACGGCCTTTTCCAGCCCCGTGCCCTCCACTGCTGCCCGAGACCCCAGTGCGGTGCATGGCTTTGTCCCC